ACCACTGCCCCCCCTCTAGGGCCTGGAGCGAGGGTAGAGAGGCACGTTGGCGCGGCCATCGGTGATGAGCACGCCCACCACCTGCCCCACGTCGCACCTTGATGTCTTCCAAATGGGGGGGAAGCTTCTCCTCCTGCCCTAAGCCGCTCGCACCCTCCTTGCTGCCACCACCCTCCCCCTCAAAGGCGTGGAGCGAGGTGGAGAGTGGCACGTTGGCGCGATTATTGGTGATGAGCACGCCCACCACCTTCCACATGTCGCCGCACCTCCGAGCCACCTCCGTCGCCCGCACCGCCACCACCAGCGCGTGTGCCAGCGGTGAGCCGCCCCCACACGGTAGACTCGCCAGGCTGAAAAAAAGGGGGGGGGAGGGGGGGGACGGGAGTCTATGGAAAGGGTTGAGCAGGTGAGATCCTGCACAGGATGCGCTGCATAGCGGTGAAGTGTGGGCGAATGCAGGTAGCAGCAACGGTGGGGTGCATCTCTCACTACAGCGTCGCTGGGGTTCAACACTCACCGCTTGTGAGCGAGAGCAACGACACGGGATGGCGGGACGAGGAGGTCAGCGTGCTGATCGTGGAAGGGCATGAGGGCAATGCTGACTTCTGAGTCGACTCAAAAGTCATCATGAAAGGGCACGGGGGCAATGCTGACTTTTGAGTCGACTCAAAAGTCATCATCAAAGGGCATGGGGGCAATGCTGGCTTTTGAGTCGACTTAAAGGTCATATCAAAGGGCATGAGGGCAATGCTGACTTTTGAGTCGATTCAAAAGTCATCATGAAAGGGCACGAGGGCAATGTTGGTTTTTTAGTCGAGCTAAAAGTCAACATGAAAGGGCATGGCAACAATGCTGACTTGAGTCGACTCAAAAGTCATCATGAAAAGGCATGACGGCAATGATGTCCCGCTTGCTGTAGCTCTCAGTACCTCTCCATCTTTACTGCACTCACCACTTGTGAGCAAGGGCGACAATGCTAGAGGGCGGCACGAGCAGGTCAGCGTGTTGGTCATGGAAGGGCACGTCAGAGATGCTGTCCCGCTTGCTGCAGCTCTCCCCCAGCAGCTGCAGCGCTGCTCCCTTGGCCGCCCCCATGCGGTTCAACGCCATTCTGCCACTCGCATCCACTATGAACACCACTTGGTGGAGGAGGGGGGTAGGATGGGGAGGGAGGTGTGGGGGCGTAGTTGTGTTGTCATGTAGCGCAGGTGCCATGCTGCCACTCGCATCTACTATAAACACCACCTGGTGGTGGGGGAAGGGGTGGGATGGGTGAGGGGCACTGTGCAGCAGCGACCATTTTTCACTCCACCGCCACCGTCGTCTCTGCCGCCACCTGGCTTGGTGCTTCGCCAGGTTCTTAGTCTCCCGTCTTCTACTGGCCTTACTCCTCCCTTACTGTGTCCACCGCCTGACCAGTCGCAGCCGCAGTTACAGCCGGACTCCCCACAGCCTGCTCCTTCTCCTTATACTGAGTAGTCGGACTCTCTTACAGAGCGTCGTGAGCCTGAGTCTCGTCCTGCCTTGCCTGTTCACGCTGTTTGCACTGGTCGTCAGTTCCTCGTCCGCGAACTCCTCCTGTCCCCGGCACTCAGAATATGACACTTCGTCCTGCCTCTGTTCCACAACGTGTCCCTCTGCCGTCTCCTCTTGCGTCATCTCTTGCTGACGGTCCGGAACTTGAGTCTGACTTGGTTCGTGCTACCAGCCCTGCTGTCACACGTCTCCTATCCACTATTATTACTGACCCTTCGTTTGAGTCCCCTGCTGCGTCTACCTTAGATGCTGAGCTTGTCGACTTTGCTGCTCGCTGTCGTCTAGACTACGCCGCTAGTCTGAGTCAGAGTCAGTCTGTCCTCGGTCCGTCGGGGGTAAGTGTGCTCTTGGCACGGACGTCCTTGAAGACAGGCAGGAGGACTTTGAGTGTCTTGCAGCTGCTGTACCTCATCTCGTGGCCATGCTGCTTGCCTCTGAGAGAGACCCGGATGCTTTAGACATCCCGACCCAGCGCTCTTACGCAGAGGAAATTACGGGTCCCTACTCCTCTTAGTGGCAGACAGCCATGGACGTAGAGATGGCATCCTGGAAGTCCACAGGCACTTACGTCGATGCAGTTCCCCCTCCTAGGGCGAACATAGTCGATGGCATGTGGATTTTCAGGGTGAAGCGGCCGTCGGGTTCTCCGCCTGTCTTCAAGGCTCGTTACGTTGCACGACAGGGAGTTGACTTCTTCCAGACCTTCTCCCACACCGAAGATGACCACTCTTCGGGTGCTGTTGCACGTTGCCGCTCAGCGTGACTACGAGCTTCACTCTCTTGACTTCAGCACAGCCTTCTTACAGGGCAGCCTGCACAAGGAGATCTGGCTGCACCGCCCACCTGGCTTCACTGGGTCGTTTCCTCAGGGTACCTAGTGGAGCCTTCGACGGCCAGTCTACGATCTCCGCGAGGCACCTCGTGAGTAGCACGACATATTGATAACTACACTTGCGGCTCTTGGGTTTGCTCCTTCCACTGCTGACCCGTCGCTGTTTCTGCGCACCGACACTTCGCTGCCGCCATTCTACATCCTCGTATACATCGACGGCTTGGTCTTTGCCACTGCTGACACTGAGGCACTGGCCCTTGTGAAGTCGGAGCTGCAGAAGAGACACACCTGCACTGACCTGGGTGAGCTGCGCAGCTATCTTGGCTTGCAGATCACCCAGGACAGAGCACAGTGTACCATCACACCTGACTCAGTCACACATGGTGCACCAGGTCCTTCAGCGCTTCGGCTTCCGGTTCTCCTCGCCACAGTCCACTCCTCTGCCTACCGGTCACTCGCTCTCAGCTCCACCTTCGGACAAGTCCGTAGAGCCGAGTGGCCCGTATCCAGAGCTCGTGGGCTGCCTCATGTACCTGATGACCTGCACTCGACCTGAACTTGCATACCCTCTTAGCATCCTGGCACGCTACGTTGCGCCCGGGAGACACCGACCAGAGCACTGGGAGGCCGCTAAGAGGGTGTTGCGCTACTTGTGCTGTACGTCGGGCTTGGGGCTCGTGCTTGGAGGACAGGGTCCAGTTGTCCTCACTGGACACTCAGACGCTTCTTGGGTTGACGACCAGGCTACGCAGCGGTCATCACAGGGTTACACTTTCAGCCTTGGCTCCGGCTCTGTTTCTTGGCGGTCTACCCGCTCGTCTTCTGTTCTTAGCTCCAGTTGTGAGGCTGAGATCTACGCAGGGGCCATGGCTGCACAGGAGTTACGCTGGCTCACCTACCTGCTGACCGACTTGGGAGAGCGGCCTCGTTCTCCTCCTGTTCTGTACGTCGACAACAAGGCTATGATTGCCTTGTGTCAGGAGCAAAGACTGGAGTTCAGAACAAAGCACATCGCTCTGCGTTACTTCTTGGCTCGAGAGTTGCAGCAGCGTGGTCAGATTCACCTTGCTTACGTGGCCACTTGGACCAACACTGTTGATGTATTCACTCAGGCGCATCAGCGTTTCTGTACTGCGTTAGGCCTTGTGCCTGCTTCTTCTCACTTGCTCACTTCTTGACTTTGCTTGTACTGTGATTTATATATATACCTGCATGCTTACACTTGCTAGGTAGTGATCACTGTACTGTTTGTTCTTCTTTTTATAACTCCGCATGTGAACTGGCCTTGTGGGCGTTTGCTTGTACTTAGAGTGTGTGGTGACTTTGTGATCCACCATAAGCTTGCTTTGCATTTTCTTGACTAGTCTTGTGGCCCCTTGTTCTCCCACACTTTGCCTATGGGGGTGTGTCAAAATATTGTGATGTTTGTATTGTGTATGTTATAGTGGGGTAGCCCATAAGGTACCAACCTAATTAGGGTTAGTACTTGTACCAACTTTCTGTTCAATGCATTCATTCTCGTTCAGTTTCTTGACAGGTAAGAACGTCGTGACGTATGAGGTTTGGATGTGCCGCGATTGGTGCGGGGTGACTTGGAACTGGTTTGGTGCAGAAGTATAGGCCGAACCCACACTGACGTGAACTGTTCGGGCTGTCCTAGCTAAGAGCAGCCTCTACAACCACTTTATATTTATTACAGTACCGCCAGCCTCCGGATAGAAGCGCCCATGGCGGTATATAAAAACAACGATTTTTAGGGGGTAAGCTTATAATTGAGGATTTTTATAAGCGCCGGCGTTTATATAATGGCAAAAGTGAAATTAAGTTTGCTTTACACCAAACTGTAGATCTCGTTCTGCCCATTGTAATCGAGTCGAAAATATATGGGGTCGCGAAACCAATTCTCGAGCAGCTTGGCAGGGATTTATTCCCTGCCAACACATGCTTATTAAGTGACAGCACGTGCTGACTAGACTGTCAAACATATGCATATGTTATATTTGTGGGTAGGCTGTAGTGGGGTAGATAATGTGGGGTACAACCCCTTAGGGTTTACTTCATGTACCAATTCTCTTGATAGTTCACACCATTCCTGCCTAGTTTCAAACATGGTATCAGAGCAGTAGGTCCGTAGGATCTAAAATTCGGGCCCACCCGTTACCGAGTTACCTCACCTACAGCCTTGTCTGTCTGCCTTGCCTGCCTGCCTGCCTTGCCTGCTGCCCGCGCGCGCCTCGGCTGCACGTGCGCATGCATTTTTTTTAGCGCGCCCCACTGCCTCAGCCGCCCACGCGCTCGCTGCTATCCGCGCAGCCCGCCACGCGCGCAACCTGTCGCCACGCGCAGCCCGCAGCTGCGTGCAGCTCGTCTCCGCGCGCAGCCCATTGCCGCGGACAGCCAGCCAGCCGCGCGCAACCCGCAGCCGCGCACAGCCCGCAGCCGCGCGTGCCCTGCCCTGCCTTGATCGCCTGCCTGCCTTGTGTCTGCCTGCCTGAAGTGCGCCTTGCCTGAAGTGCGCCTGCCTGCCTTGCGCCTGCCTGCCTGAAGTGCGCCTGCTAATCTTGTGCGCCTGCCTGCTGCCTGTGTCTACGACCTTTGCCTACTGCCGGTTCCTACTGCCTACGCTATAAGCATGGCGATGCTTAATGTTCTTGCGTTTGAGCCTGACGGTCGCCTGATAGAATTTGCCACCTGGCTCGACGATCTGATACTGTTTCTCATGACTGATGCCAAAGACGGCGTGTCACTGTTCGATCACGCGACTGGCACTGCCGCTGCTCCTGCTGACACTGCCACTGCTCTCGACCGCTCACAGTGGCAGACTCGCGATGCTGCTGCACGCCTCGCTATCCGCAACCACCTACCGATCACTGAACGCACGCATTTTAGTCATCACAAGACTGCCAAGGCGCTGTATGCTGCTGTAGTTGCGCGCTATTCCTCCCCAGCCACTGCAGCCGTAGGTCGTCTCATCCTGCCCTACCTGTTCCCCGACCTGTCCTCGTTTACCACCGCTGAGGACCTCATCTCTCACCTCCGCACTTTACCCTCTACATCCTCGGCACTTGCCTCCCTGACACTCTTAGCTCGGTCAGGGACCATTTCCTCGCCAAGGACCCTACCACTATCACTCTCGACGACTTCGAGCAGCAGCTTCTGGCAGCAGAGAAGAACATTCTAGCTGTAGGCGCTGCTCGTGGCACTCCTCGCACACCCCTCTTCGAGGGGTGCTCCCCCTCCCCTCTTGCTCCCTCTAACGCCTCTGCTGCTCCTCGGTGCTGAGAAGGTCGCAGCTGCTTCCGCTCCTAGTGGGAAGCGCGGTGGTACCAGGGGCGGCAAGGGTGGCAGGGGTGGTGGAGGTGGCGGTGGAGGGAGCGGTGGTGGAGGCGGCGGGGGTGGTGGAGGTGCAAATGCACATTGCACGACATCCTGCCGTCTGTTTGTACGAGTATGCGTGTGCGAATGCATTTGCGTGTGAATGGTGTGTTCGTGTGTTTGTTTGCTTTCGCATTTTTCGCTTGATGCATTTGCAGGTACTCGCGCAATGTGCGCTTTGGCACAACATTGTATGCGCTATGAACAGTGCAAGCAGAAAGGACGAGCTCGCAAAGGAACCCAAGATGGAAGCTTTGCAGTTCGGTTGAGTTGATTGCGCAGATTCAGTTCTATCCAACTCGAAATTGTACTGTTTTGTTTGGTTAACTATAGTGTAGCAGGGAAGGCACTATAGGGGTACAATTTAGGTGAAGGTTGGATGTTGTTTGTCTGTATCTGCATGCTACAAGGCCAGGGGAAACCAGCGGAACCAGCATTTGGCTGGTTGGGCAAAGACAAAACAGGTTCTGTTTTTAGAACCTGAACCTGGTTGTTGTTTTCCCAGGTTGGAAAAACAGAACCAGAGGTTGTTTACCAACCTACCACCTGCTATTTTGTCCAGCCAGGTTGGTTCTGTTGCTTGGAATTATTTTGGATCATCCCTGGTTGTTCCCAGGTTGATTCCCAAGGTCCTTGCTAGCTAGAACTATTTAATCCTTCTCTGTTTGTACCTGAATATAGTCAAATTGATTCAAGCGAATTCCTTCCTCGCTGGAATTTCGTTTCTGCGCTATTCGACGGCGGAATGCTACCCGAGTCAACGCTAGTATGCTAGCACTCCAACGCTAGGCAAACGCTGTCCGAGCCATAACTTAGTAATGGCAGAACTTTTCGCGAGGCAACTTGGCTCATTTTAAAGCTCTTGGAGCGAGCTTCGATATAGCGAATTCTCAGCTTAATCCGACCGACGGTCTGCACGGCACGCTGCGCGACGTTCAAGGTACTCTTGCTGTTTTGACTAAGTCCTTCTTGATCCCTCTCTCTACAAACTCGGACCCGAGGATAGGGGCTGGTCTTGTACCAGGCACCCAGGGACCCTTGGAGGTGACCCCGAGGAGAGGTTTTAAGTTTGATTAAGTCCTAATAGCTTGAGTTTATTAGGCCCTTACACCAACAAGCTGGTATCAGAGCTGCGTTATAGTGATCCTCGTTATAGGTAGCTATGGCGGGCAACACCTCGGCGGGAGCTGGTGAATCTTCAGCCCAAGATCGTAGCGGCAGCCAAGATTCTGGTCTTTCAGCGCCAAGGGGAGCGCGAACAAACCAGGGCTCGCTTGTCAAGGAGGTGCTGAAGAATTTCACCGTCGAGAAGTTCAATGGTGAGGGCTATGATGATTGGGCCTGGAAAATGCAATTATATTTCCGTCAGATCGGTTTGCTGAAACTAATGATTGGGGAGGAGCCTAGACCGAGTGACCCCACGCTGCAGGAAGATTGGGACGAGCGCTCCTCGGCTGGCTACTATTTGATGTCGCAGAGTTTGGAGCTGAACCAGCGTCACCACGTCATGCACCTGCTGCCGGAGGTTGAATGCGGTCCGAAGGCATGGACCGTGTTGAAGGAGCTGCACGCCCCGACCTCCGTTGTCGCAACGTTGATGCTGGAGAGGGAGCTGTCCGCGTTGCGCCTGAGCGAGGGAGAGCCGGTGCAACCAGTCCTGGACAAGATGCGCGACCTCTACGCGAAGTTGGCGACCGCGGGAATCACCTACCCGGAGCAGACCAAGTGCTTGAAGATGCTCTCGCTGCTGCCAGAATCGTGGCTTCAATTTACGAGCGGATTGAGCCTGCCGCAGAACCAGAGCTTGTGGACGCTCGAGTGGGTGCGGACGAAGATTCTGGAGGAGGACTTCCGTCGCCGCCAACTGAGGGGTGGAGACGACGGCAGCAGCGGCTACGGGATGCAAGGGAGCCGACGTGGCAGAGGACGTGGCTTCGGTGGTGCTGGACGCGGTGCAAAGAAAGACGACGACTCCAACGACCAACAAGGAGGTACCGGTTGGGGTCGCGGTGCGAAATCTGGACGTGGGGGCAAGTCGGGTGCTGGTGGCAAAATGAAAGGGAGTTGCTGGTATTGTGAGAAGGAAGGGCACCCCTGGTTTTTGTGCTATAAGAAACCCGATGGATGGACCCCCCAGAATCGTCACCAGGATGGCGGCGCGCGGAGGAACCAGAAAAACGGCGCCAACATGGTCGCTGATTCGTCCGACAACAACCCGAAGGGCAACGGCGGTGCGGAGAAGAAGAAGGAGCGCACCGCGGGCCAATTCTTCCATGTGGGAGACAAGGGGGAGCAAGGAGACGCCTCTGCCAAAGTTGGAGCAGAGCTGCACCCCCTAGACTATTGGGTGTTGGACACAGGCGCTGCTTGGACGATGACGCCGCGCAAGGACCTGCTGGACGAAGTACGAGCTGCACCGATCAATGAAGTGTGCTCCGCCTCTGGACACATGTTGAAGGTGGCTGGTGCGGGACGAGCTGCGTTTAAGGGAGCGGATGGCAAGCCGGTGGTGCTGCACGACGTTCTCTTCGTCCCCGACCTGAAGGCCAACCTTATCTCCCTCCGTAAGCTTGGCAAGGCTGGGGTGAACACCAACACGGATGGGGCACGCACTTATAAGGGGAAGCTGGGCAATCGGGTGCTTTGGGATCTGCACGAGAGCAAGGACGTGTACAGATCTATGTGGCAGCTGCCGGCCCTGGCGTGGCATGGTGGGGGGCAGGCTGGAGAGGGGTCTGCATCCCAGGGGGAGTGCAATGCCGTTGGAGGGGTTGGTGTGAAAGTGTCGGCCAGATCTGGGGAGACAGATTGGGCAACGGCACACCGGCGCTTAGGGCATGTGGCAATGCCTTTGCTGAAGCAGCTGGAGAAGGATGGAGCCGTTAAGGGTCTGAAGCTGAACGGACAGCCACCCGATGACAACTGTGAAATCTGTTTGCTTTCAAAGTTCACCCGTTTCCCTTTCCATAGTGTGGCTGGCAGGAGCAAGAAGCCTTTGGAGCTGGTCCACATGGACTTGGTGGGGCCGCTGCCGGTGCAAGGGCACAAGGGGGAGCGGTATTTTCTTACAATTGTGGATGACTGGAGCAGGCTGATGTGGGCGTATCCGCTGAAGCAGAAGGACCACGCCGCCTCCACGATACGGGACGATTGGCTGCCATTCGTGGAGAAGCAGGCGGAGTGTGTAGTGAAGCGGATTAGGACAGACCGGGGTGGTGAGTTCCTTGGAGCTGAAATGACGGCCTGGCTCAAGAAGCAGGGCATCCAGAGAGAGCTGACCACGGCTTATACCCCACAGTCCAATGGTGTAGCAGAACGGGCAAACCGGACCATTCTGGAGACAGCTAGGGCGCTGCTCATAGAATCTGGGCTGAGCAATTCTATGTGGCCTCATGCTGTCCGGCACGCCACTGTCGCTAGGAACAGGGTGCTCACCAAGGTTGGGGATGACTCGTGGGTGCCGTTGGAGAGGTGGCTTGGGAGGAAGCCGCCGGTGGACATGCTGAGGGTGTTCGGTTGCATGGCAGTCGCCCACGTCCCCAAGACCTACCGCAGTAAGTTGGGGGCGAGTGCAATCTGGTGTGTGCATTTGGGGCTAGCTGCTGAGAGCAAGGGATGGCTGCTGTGGGAACCATCCAAGGGTGTGTTGTTTGACAGCAGGGATGTGAAATTCATTGAGGGCATGATGTATGGGAGCTGGGAGAAACAGCCGGAGGCAAGGGTGTCCCAGCAGATGGAGCAGATCACCATGCAGCTGGACCTGACTCCTAGCGTGTGGGAGGAGGGAGAGGAGGCAGCTGCTGGAAATGGTGATGGAGAGAAGGTACAGGAGGCATCTGCTGGTGGAGAAAATGGTGTGGAAACTGGCGGCAGCACTAGTGGAGCTGCTGGACCCGAGGGAGGAGAGAAGCAGCAGGGAAAAACTAAGAAGCCGAAGGGTGTCGTTATGAAGGGATGGGAGACACCCGTCTCCAGGCCAGGACGTACCCGTATGGCTACTAAGAAGCTGACTGCAGGAACTGATGCAGCAGAGCAGCAGCTAGGGACCGAAGAGGCATTGCTGATTCTACCTCATGGCTATGACCCGGATGAGGAGGATGAGCCTGCGTACTGTTTTCTTGCCCCTGCACCAGAGGAACCAGCTAGCATGGAGGAGGCATTAGCTGGACCAGATAGGGACAAGTGGCTGGCTTCTAGGGATGCTGAGTACCAGAGTCTGCTGGAGAATAGGACATGGGATCTGGTGGTGCTGCCTGATGGGAAGAAAGCGATACAATGCAAGTGGGTGCTGAGGATCAAGACCGATGACAAGGGGCAGGTCACCATCTACAAGAGTAGGCTGGTGGCGAAGGGGTTTATGCAGAAGGAGAAGCAGGACTTCAACGAGATCTTTGCTCCCACTGCCAAACCCCCTACCCTCCGTGTCTTGTTGGCAGATGCAGCTGTTAGTGGGAAATTCATCATTCAGATGGATATTTCAACGGCATTCCTGAATGGGATTTTAGAGGAGGATGTGTACATGACGCAGCCGCCTGGGTATGAGGATGGTACGGGCAGGGTGTGCAAGCTCAACAAGTCCATCTACGGCTTGAAGCAGGCGCCACGCTGCTGGTACCAGAAGTTGGCAGCTGTTTTAGAGGAGATGGGATTCAGGACCAGCAGCTGTGATGAGAGCCTCTTTCTCAAGGGCGAGGGGGAGAAGCTGGTGCTGTTTCTGGTCTATGTGGACGACATTCTTCTCTTCAGCAGCAGCATGAAGGAGATCCAGAATGTGCAGCAGCAACTGATGGAAAACTTCAAGTGCAAGAACCTTGGGGAGGTAAAGTACTACCTCGGGATGCACGTGGAGAGGGATCCAGATCACAGGTGGTTGAAGCTGCACCAGGAGAAGTTCATCAAGGAGCTGGGGGAGAAGTATGGGATTGAGAATGAGCGCAAGGTTGCAACTCCCCTGCCAGCAGAATTCAAGCTTGTGAAGGCTGCAGAGGATGAAGGGATTGAAGCTGAAGAGCAGCAGCAATTTCAGTCCTTGGTGGGCAGCCTCTTGTACGCAGCAGTTCACACGAGGCCCGACATCTCTTTCTCGGTTGGGCAGCTGGCTAGGGTGGTGCAGAATCCATCAGAGGAGCAGGTGGATGCAGCTGAGCGTGTGGTGAAGTACCTGAACTCTCACCCAAGCATTGGAGTTCAATACTCCGCATCTGCACAGGTGAAGCAGAAAGGGGTGGAGGTGCTGAAAGAGAAGGGGGAGAGGCTTGGAGAAGGCAAGCTATTTCTCACTTGCTTTACCGATGCTACATGGGCTTCTGAGAAGGAGGATTCCTCATCTGTGGGAGGATACATCTGCGTAGTTGGGGGAGGACCTGTTAGTTGGAGGTCCAAGAAGCAGACGGAGACGGCACTCTCTTCCGTAGAATCAGAGTACATGGCAATGTTCCATGGGGTGAAGGAGGTGATTTGGCTGAGGAGGCTGTTAGAGGAGATTGGCCAGGAGCAGAAAGTTGCTACGCCGCTGTTTTGTGATAGCAAGGGGGCTCTTGGGATGGCCAGAAACGCTGTGCTTCATGGGCTGAACAAGCACATGCGTATCAAGTGGCACTGGCTGCGTAAGGAGGTGAAGAGAGGGACGGTGAATCCGATCTACATCAAGACTCACCAGCAGCCAGCAGACTTTCTCACCAAGAGGCTTGCGGATGAGCCTCATTGGCGTTGTGTGCGCATGAGTGGAATGAGCATGAACTAGCATAGAATGATGGGGATGCAGCCGGCAGGCTGAGGGGGAGTGTGTTGGGTGCAAATGCACATTGCACGACATCCTGCCGTCTGTTTGTACGAGTATGCGTGTGCGAATGCATTTGCGTGTGAATGGTGTGTTCGTGTGTTTGTTTGCTTTCGCATTTTTCGCTTGATGCATTTGCAGGTACTCGCGCAATGTGCGCTTTGGCACAACATTGTATGCGCTATGAACAGTGCAAGCAGAAAGGACGAGCTCGCAAAGGAACCCAAGATGGAAGCTTTGCAGTTCGGTTGAGTTGATTGCGCAGATTCAGTTCTATCCAACTCGAAATTGTACTGTTTTGTTTGGTTAACTATAGTGTAGCAGGGAAGGCACTATAGGGGTACAATTTAGGTGAAGGTTGGATGTTGTTTGTCTGTATCTGCATGCTACAAGGCCAGGGGAAACCAGCGGAACCAGCATTTGGCTGGTTGGGCAAAGACAAAACAGGTTCTGTTTTTAGAACCTGAACCTGGTTGTTGTTTTCCCAGGTTGGAAAAACAGAACCAGAGGTTGTTTACCAACCTACCACCTGCTATTTTGTCCAGCCAGGTTGGTTCTGTTGCTTGGAATTATTTGGGATCATCCCTGGTTGTTCCCAGGTTGATTCCCAAGGTCCTTGCTAGCTAGAACTATTTAATCCTTCTCTGTTTGTACCTGAATATAGTCAAATTGATTCAAGCGAATTCCTTCCTCGCTGGAATTTCGTTTCTGCGCTATTCGACGGCGGAATGCTACCCGAGTCAACGCTAGTATGCTAGCACTCCAACGCTAGGCAAACGCTGTCCGAGCCATAACTTAGTAATGGCAGAACTTTTCGCGAGGCAACTTGGCTCATTTTAAAGCTCTTGGAGCGAGCTTCGATATAGCGAATTCTCAGCTTAATCCGACCAACGGTCTGCACGGCACGCTGCGCGACGTTCAAGGTACTCTTGCTGTTTTGACTAAGTCCTTCTTGATCCCTCTCTCTACAAACTCGGACCCGAGGATAGGGGCTGGTCTTGTACCAGGCACCCAGGGACCCTTGGAGGTGACCCCGAGGAGAGGTTTTAAGTTTGACTAAGTCCTAATAGCTTGAGTTTATTAGGCCCTTACACCAACAGTGGAGGTGGTGGGGGTGGTCGTGGGGGTGGAGGAGGTGGGTGGGGCGGCGGTGGGACCGGGAGCGGTGGAGGTGGCAGCGGCGGTAGTGGGGGAGGAGGCAGCGGTGGTGGTGGTGGAGGTGGGGGGCGGGAGTGGGACTGGCCAGAAGGGGAGCTCCAGCGGTGGCCAGCAGCAGCAGCAGCAGCAGCAGCCAGACCCCCTCTTCTCAGCAGCTCCATGACTGGTATGCCGGGCGTGGGGCGTCTGGGGGTCCTGGTCGCTGCCCCTATGTCATTCGCGCCGGTCCCCGCAAAGGTCGCACATGCAACGGCTTTCACGCTGAGTCCCGCTGCTTCGCTCGCCTTAGCGACGCCTGGCGTGCCAAGTTTCCTGAGGCTACTGAGTTTCCCAACTGCGCAGACCTGCTTAGGCGTGGTGTTCCTGTATTTGATCTTGACTATGCTATTCTTGCTGCCATGTATGCATTGACTGTTAGTGCTGAGGGTGACTGCTACTTGTGTGTGCCGCCTGACCCCGGTATAGACCCAGGTATAGCGCCTGCAGCCCTAGGTGCTAGTGAGTCTGCTCTCCCTGGTACTGCGTCCGCTCAGGCCTTGCACACCTTTACACTTGACTCTGGTGCTTCCCGCTGTTTCTTTCGCGACAGCACCACAGTCACTCCCCTCCCTGCACCTGTCCCTATCTCACTGGCTGACCCCTCTAGGGGCCCAGTGCTTGCACGGTCCACCACTGTGCTTCCGTGTCCGGCGGTCCCGTCTGGTGAGCTGTCTGGTCTCCACCTCCCCTCGTTCTCTACGAACCTGGTGAGCAATGCCGCCAGGATGGTGGGGTTCATACCTTTACCCCTGCTTGGCAGCGTATGGCAATCTGCACGTGTGCGAGGACTGGCTGTCACCTGGCCACGTTCACTCGTCGGCCGGGGTCGAGTCTGTACACACTGACGACTGGGTCTCCTCAGGTCGCTGCTGTTGGTCAGGTGTCTGCGTCTTGTCTGGTAGCTTCCCCCTGCGAGTGTCGTCGCCTGCCGCACCGGACTCTCCTTTCGCAACACTGCCTTGGTCACCCCTCCTTGCCTCGCCTGCGTAGCATGCACTCTCGCTCCCTGGTCTCTGGTCTTCCCAGGTCTCTGCCTGCCCTCCCTCCCTCGCCTGCGCCGCCCTGCATTCCTTGCGTCGAGGGGCGGCAGCGCGCCGCTCCTCACTCCTCCTCGTTTCCTCCATCAGAGGCTCCACTGCAGACGCTCCACCTGGACGTGTGGGGCCCAGCCCGCGTCCAGGGGCAAAGCCGCGAGCGGTACTTCCTGCTGGTTGTCGACGACTACACGCGTTACACCACGGTCTTCCCCTTGCAGCGCAAGGCGGATGTCCCTGCTGTTTTGATCCCTTGGATCCGCGCTGTTCGTCTCCAGCTCCGCAAGCGGTTCCAGTAGGGCTTTCCTGTCCTGCGTCTGCACTCTAACAGAGGTGGTGAGTTTTCCTCCGACCTCTTGGCAGCCTACTGTGCGGAGCACGGCATCCGCCAGACGTTCACGCTTCCGGCCTCTCCGCAGCAGAATGGGGTTGCTGAGCGCCGCATTGGCTTAGTCATGGAGGTCGCTCGTACCTCCATGATCCATGCGGCGACTCCCCATTTTCTGTGGTCGTTTGCGGTCCGGTACGCCGCGCATCAGCTCAACCTCTGGCCCCGTGTCTCCTTGCCGGAGACCTCGCCCACACTGCTGTGGATGGGGAAGGTTGGCGATGCGTCGCGTTTCCGGGTCTGGGGTGCTCGTGCCTTTGTCCGCGATACCACCGCGGATAAGCTGTCCGCTCGCGCCATCCCCTGCGCCTTCCTTGGCTTTGTCCTTGACGCGCCTGGCTGGCAGTTTTATGACCCCGCCTCGCGCCGTGTCTTTGCGTCTCAGGACGTCACCTTTGACGAGTCCGTCCCCTTTTACCGTCTCTTTCCCTACCGCACTGCCCCGCTCCCCCCCTCCCCGCCGCTCTTCCTCGCTCTAGGTCCTTCCCAGGTAGCCCCCCTCCCCTCGCCAGGTCCTGCTCCTTCAGGTGTTTCTCAGGTAGACCCTCCTTTGCTTGCGCCCGTTGAGGTTACTAGTGACTCAGGTCCTGCTCGGGGTGCTGTTTCTGGGAGTGCTGAGCCTGTGCGAGAGGAGCCTGGGGGTGCTGAGCCTGGGGGTGCGGAGTCTGGGGGTGCTGTGCCTGAGCGTGAGGAGCCTGGGGGTGCTGAGCCTGGAGAGGCTGACTCTGAGAGTGAGGAGCCTGGGGGTGCTGAGTCTGGAGGTGCTGAGCCTGAGCGTGAGGAGCCTGGGGGTGCTGAGTCTGGAGGTGCTGAGCCTGAGCGTGCGGAGCCTGGGGGTGCTGAGTCTGGGGGTGCTGAGCCTGAGCGTGAGGAGCCTGGGGGTGCTGAGTCTGGGGGTGCAGAGGCACCTGAGGGTGCTGAGCCTGCTGCTGCGCGGTCTCTTTGGAGTGGCCGCCTTCGTGATCCTGCGTCGCGTCTTGTCTCGCCTGTTCGCACTGTGCGCACTGGTCGTACGTGTTCCCCATCCGCGTCAGCCGGCTGTCCCCAGCGCACGCCTCGTAGTCCGTCGTCCTTCCTCTGCTCCGCAGCGTGTTCCTCTGCCGTCTCCCCCTATGTCCTCTCTGCCTGACGTTGCGGACCCGGCGTCCAACCAGTTTCGTGCTGAGCACCCTACTGTCACGCGTCTGTTAGTTAGTGTTGTCACTGACCCGTCGTTTGAGTCTGCTGTTGCGTCTGCCTTGGTCGCTGAGCTTGTTGACTTTGCTGCTGCTTGTCGTCTAGACTACGCTGCTAGTCTTGTTGCTGAGTCTGAGTCTGTCTGTCCTCCGTCAGTCGGGGGTGAGTGTGCTCTTAGCACGGACGTCTTTGAGGACAGGCAGGAGGACTTTGAGTGTCTTGGAGCTACTGCGCCTCATCTCGTGGCCATGCTGCTTGCCCCTGAGGGAGAACCGGATGCTTTAGACATCAAGACACCGCGATCTTACGCTGAGGTGAACGCGGGTCCCTACTCCTCTCAGTGGCAGGCAGCCATGGACGCAGAGATGGCATCCTGGAAGTCTACAGGCACTTACGTCGTTGAGGTTCCCCCTCCTGGAGCGAACATTGTCGACGACATGTGGATTTTCAGGATGAAGCGGCCGCCGGGTTCTCCGCCTGTCTTCAAGGCTCGTTACGTTGCTCGAGGCTTCAGTTAGCGAGAGGGAGTTGACTTCTTCCAGACCTTCTCCCCCACCCCGAAGATGACCACTCTTCAGGTGCTGCTGCACGTTGCCGCTCAGCGTGACTATGAGCTTCACTCTCTTGACTTCAGCACAGCTTTCTTACACGGCAGCCTGCACGAGGAGATCTGGCTGCGCCGCCCGCCTGGCTTCACTGGGTCGTTCCCTCCTGGTACCCAGTGGAGCCTCCGCCAGGCGCCACGAGAGTGGCACGACACACTGAGGACTACACTTGTGGCTCTTGGGTTCGCTCCTTCGACAGCTGACCCGTCGCTGTTCCTGCGCACCGACACTTTGCTGCCGCCGTTCTACATCCTCGTATACGTCGACGACTTGGTCTTTGCCACTGCTGACACTGAGGCTCTCGCCCTGGTGAAGTCGGAGCTGCAGAAGAGACACACGTGCACAGACCTCGGTGAGCTGCGCAGCTACCTTGGCTTGCAGATCACCCGGGACTGAGCACGCCGCACCATCACACTGACTCAGTCACACATGGTGCAGCAGGTCCTTCAGCGCTTCGGCTTCACCTGGTCCTCGCCACAGTCCACTCCTCTGGCTACAGGTCACTCGCTCTCAGCTCCACCTTCGGACGAGTCCGTAAAGCCGAGTGGTCCTTACCAAGAGCTAGTGGGCTGCCTCATGTACCTGATGACCTGCACTCGTCCTGACCTTGCGTACCCTCTTGGCCTTCTGGCACGCTACGTGGCTCCTGGTCGACACCGAAAGGTGCACTGGGATGCTGCGAAGAGGGTACTGCGCTACTTGTGCAGCACATCGGGCATGGGGCTCGTGCTTGGAGGGCGGAGCGACGTTGTCCTCACTTGGCACTTAGACGCTTCTTGGGTTGACGACCAGGCTACACAAAGGTCGTCACAGGGTTACACTTTCAGCCTTGGCTCCGGTTCTGTTTCTTGGCGTTCTACTCGCTCGTCTTCTGTTCTCAGCTCCAGTTGTGAGGCTGAGATCTACGCCACAGCCATGGCTGCTCAGGAGTTACGCTGGCTCACCTACCTGCTGACCGACTTGGGAGAGAGGCCTTGTTCTCCTCCAAGTCTGTACGTCGACAACTAGGCCGCCATTGCCTTGTGTGAGGAGCACAGACTGGAGCACAGAACGAAGCACATCGCTCTGCGTTACTTTCTGGCTCGAGAGTTGCAGCAGCGTGGTCAACTTCGTCTTGCTCACGTGGCCACTCGGGCCAACACTGCTGATATCTTCACCAAGGCACTTCCGTCTGGTGACCATCAGCGCTTTTGTACTTTGTTGGGCCTTGTGCCTACGTTTCCACACTTGCTGTAGACTCTGCTTGTACTGTGATATATATATATATATATATATATACATATATACTTGCATGCTTGCTCTTGCTAGGTAGAGATCACTGTACTGTTCTTGTTGCATATATACCTCTGCATGTGAACTGGCCTTGTGGCCCTTTGCTTGTGCTCAGTGTGTGTGGTGACGTTGTGATCCACCCTGAGCTTGCTTTGCTTTCCTTGACTGGTCTTGTGACCTTTGTTGGGCTGAGAATTAGCCCTTTGGATCTTTTGCAAGGGTGAACTCTGGGTAGGAACAATGTAATAGCGGAAGCGTTTAATGATGAAAGTACTTGAACCACCTTGCGCTGATGTATGAGGGCAAATTTGATTGACTAGAAACGAAGAGATACAAGATTATATAAGAGTACAAGGAATATGAAAAGATACGGTTATAACTACTTTACTGTTGCTGTTGCGGTTCGATACAGTGACGACTCGGGCAACTGCTCTGTAACGAGTCAGTTGTGTGTCCTTGCTGTCGCGCTGTATTTGTCAGGTCAAAGGTCGCTGACCTTTGACTTTCGCGTAACCTCCAGCAACTGTTTCAACCTCCGAGGGTTGACTGCGAAGGTAAAGTCCTTCCTTGGTGGCTGAGCAGAGTGCGATGTATTCCGCTTCAGCTGATGAGAGGGCGATTAATTCCTGCTTGCTCGACTGCCAGGAGA